CACCCTAATAAGACATATCTCCAGTCTTCTCAAAATACTTGGCATGTCATATGATATTTGTGTAATTCATCTTGAAATTTTTCAATATCTAAATAAGCATGTGTTGGCAGATGACAATCTATATCTGTTGGAACAACTCCTTTGTTAATAGATGGTACGGGACTCATACTTTCAATTTACTCTTTTGGTTTTAGTGAAGAATCAGCTGGTCTCGATGTGTAAACACCAACAACCCAATCCCGTATAAAACCACCTTCAACTTTACACGAAAATTTACAAACAGCTATCCAAGCAACAACTTCCATTCGTGTTTCACGAGTTGCATTTGGTCCTTTCACACTTTTGTATAAGTCGATAGATGTTCGTTTAGTATCGGTAATATGAGAAATTCGTTCTTCAATATCATGATATTGTGCACGTACTTGAGGACGGAAAACTCGTGGAGGAACTCCTAAATATAATACAATAATGATCAAACTATTAGTTTGAATCACATACATACATACATAACATATCGGTATCTACATGAACTCTTAAAAGGATGTGGATGATAAGAAAACTTACATTCACATCTGCATTCATACCCATTGCGAGAGATCTGATTAAAATTATTATAATGCTACTATTTCCTTATCAGTTCGATGTAAAGTCTCGAAAATCTTTCATTTCTGTTTAGTGATTATCCTTAATTTAAGAAATTTTTTATACAAATACTAAGTCACAATGATGATGCTTCTCAATATTCAAAACAAACCCAAATATTTATTATCACTTTTTTCATCATTAAAAATAGGAATCAGTTGAAATCATTGCTTGAAAAAGGAAATATTTAATACAATACAAAAAGAACATTATGCATTTTATGCATTCCATTTGAGTGTTAGAGAAAATTTTTATTTGTATTAATCACGAGAGGTATTAGACAAAATATTATATGCAGATTAACTCCCAAAAACACCATAAGTCAATCAATTTGTTGAGTTTTCACTTACCTTGTATTCGGACGTCGCATAACAGCGCAATATCCTAACCATCGCACAAATGATTTGAATTCCTTTTTAATATTTTCATAATCCGAATCTCTGGCAACAACTTTTACTGTAATATTCTTTGTTGACGTATTCGGATTAACAGTTATTTTAGCTTGTCTTTCAGCTTCCCAACGCCAAATCATTGGTTTAAATATATGTGACATTTTCATTATACTTTCCAAATTTCGTGATAAATTTTTATATTCTTCTGTATCTGAATCAAAACGATTTTCTAATTCAAACTCAGATTGTTCAGTTGTCAATTGCTGTCGAAAGTATAACTCAGCTTTAAGAGAAATACCAGCTGTACCTTCTATTGATAGTGTATCCGAATGTAATTGAATATCAATTGAATGAAAGTTGTTTTTTGCTGTTGGGAATATAATTTTTTTGTAAGATGTGCTACTTCTTTTTCATTTAAAACAATATTTCGTTGAAGCTGATATTCTATCCACTCCAGTTGAAGTTCACCAAGAAATAAAAGAACAGCTCTTGAACGACTTGACGATGCATAACGAATATCTCTTGCCAAAACTAGAGGAACAGGCGACATACTTCTATGTCAAGCAAGAGTGGATTGTGAATCTAAGACAACAATATTTTGCTCAGTTGAATCATATTGAACATAATGATGATTTCTTCCATATATTTCTTTTAATGAAATAAAAACATTTTCGTAATATCCAGCTAATAATGATTTAGCGATCGATGGCCAATCACCAGATGTAATTTGTGATTTTGTACGATATTCAACTAATGAATTAAAAGATCTTTCTAAACTTACATATCGTCTCAATGCTTGTCGAAGAATATGATGAATAGCACTGAGATCTTTTGCTTGACAAACAAATTATAAATTAAATTGATTATCTGGGACTGATTATTTAACAAGTAAAATTCCTCGCATTATATTAAACAATGTCATAAAATCACCATCTGAACTTTTGAGATGTTCTGGTATTGATTTCAATAAAGCACTAGTATTAAGAACACTTAAAATAGACGATAGATAGATAAGGTCTCGTCCACAAGAATTGTCCTGAAGAGCAGACAATATAGATTTCGACATTGCTAATGAGTCATAATCAGGTAGTTTAGCAAGAGCTTCACCATGCTTTGTGAATTCTTCACTTGAAGCAGATTTCAAAATACCTTAAAAAATTAATTCAGTTTCTGACAGTTAATCATTCTCTTAAAATTATAAAGATATATTATCATTTTCTATTCATTCAACTTTCATTACAATATAGTTACCAACACCAGAACGTTAGAGTCTTTATATGGTAAATGAAATAGATTTTACCAGTTATAATTTTTGAAATACTCATTAACAACAAATTACTTTATCTAACTTCTGCAGTTACTTTTGTGTCTTTGTAAAAGTGATCAAATACCAAAACCAATATGTATTTTTTGAATGGAAAGCTGTAAGAAAACTTCTAAAGTTTTTAAACTTGTTTCATATTTTACAACTATATGGTAAATATTTCGAATCTGTTTCACCTTTGTTTCCATACTGAAAATCTGTTATTGTATTTTGAAACATCTTTTGTTGCAAAATGAATTCTTAGCATGTTTTGCGACTTACTGCATATTAGATATTTAGAGTTTAAATGGATTCAATACGCCGTACATCAAGAGGTTCTCTTTTTCTTGTTTGTTTTCATGACAAAAACAGTTTTCTCATTTTTTTCATATGTGAATTGTTAATATTATACTGAACATTGTCAACTGTTTTTTTTTATTGGAGTACTATATCTCGTGGTTGTTTCGTTAGTCTTTTAGTTTCCTTCTACATTATATAATCTGTATTACTGATTATCTTTTATGTGTTCGAAGCTAACATGAACAGACTTGGCATCTTAATGAACATTACTTGTAGTGACTGGAAAAATAACAAAATATACGCATTGTATTGATCCAATATAGTTCTATTAGATTCAAAAACTAGAAGATAATAGAAAGAAATTCTTGTAACACTGTTTAAAAAATGATTCACAACAAATTTTCACAAGATATTCATCTATCATAAGCACAAGAATTTTTTGTTGAGAACTATACTGAGTTTGGTTTCTAGATGATTTAAACTATGTACGATTACAGAATTCAAAATCTATACTTAAATTTCAGAAGTTCCTCGGATACAATATACAAAGAACTCAAAGTGGTATAGTCAACAAAGATGTTTTCAAAAATTTAAATTAGTTCCATTTTCACGTCTCATCATGCTTCTTGCTTATATCTGATACAGTATGTAATAATAGAAGGATTACTGTCAGTATAGGCGCGGAAGAGAAAAGCAAGATATTAGAATTGAATATGGACTAGCATTTTCCTCTCTTTCTTCTCATCCATTTTATCATATTTATATCACCAAATAGACATTGATTATAAATATTTCATACCTAATGCTCGTAATATTTTAACAGCTTGATCAATTGTGTTATTTCGTGAAGGATCTGGAAAGAACTGTTTCATATAGTGTAATTCTTGCTTCAATGGTGATTTTCTTTATGTAAATTCAATATTAGTCAAATCTGATTGATATATTTGTAGTGTCGGATGATTTTTTTTTCTTTCACTTCAAAATCATACAATGAATAATATTCGCCAGGTTGTGTTCGGCCTAATCGCCCAAGACGTTGTTTTATTGTAGATTCTGTTGCTCGATCTTCTTGGAGTACAGTTCGTTTAGATTCTGGATCATAAACGGGTATATTAAGCATACCCGTATCGATGACATATCTTAACTGAGAAAATGTTAATCAAGTTTCGGCAGCTGTTGTCGAAAAAAATACACTTCCATTTTCAATATATTCTTTTTGTGTAGCAGCTTCTTGTGATTGAATAAGAGGATAAGCAATAATAACACCACTAGTTATTGTTTTCAATAATGAACAACATTCATTGACATCTTTGACAGAACTAACAAAACATAAAATTTGATCATGTCGTCGACATTTTTGGTATAATTCTTGTACAATATTTAATAGATTCTCATTTTTACGAGAAAATTTAGTAACAGGATGTAAAGTATCCATTTGTGACATCATAAATTCAGCTAATGTTACTTGTTTTATTTTACGAAAAAAATCGGGTACAGATGAATCAAGCATAGCAGATTAAATAATTATTTTCATTTTTGATTTTAAAGCTGGATTAATAGATAACATTCGTGCTAACAATGCTAAACAATGATTAATATTTACGGATCTTTCGTGAACCTCATCGATGAAGAATATAATCGATTTGTTTAATTGAGTGTTACGTGTAATGAAGTTTTCATCATAAAGTAAACACTCTTTAAGTAGACCATCAGTTACATATAAAATTTTGGCTCTTGGATTTCTTTCAGCACCGCTGACAGCCCATCCGGCTAGTTTCTCTAAAAAAGGATCTTTTACTGATGTCATTGTTTCATTAACCCGTTGGCAAATTAATGTGCAAGGTAAACGTCGAGGTTGTGTAACAATAATTTTATCATAGCCTTCTACAGCAAGTAGAGCTGGTAATAACGTAGATTTCCCTGGAAATAGAACAAATCAAGCTAAAGTCTTGTAATAAAAAGTTTTTTTTACCTGATCCAGTTGATGTTGAAATTGTAGTAACTGTATTCTGGCTAATATTATCCAATAGATCTAATGCTGATTCAAACAAAGGTAGTTGAGTATAAAAACAACAAGAGTATATGATTAATCTTTGTAATAGATCAGGTATCAAACCAAAGTGTTTCGCATCCAGACCAGTAAATTTTCGATTTGTTTTAAAATTCTCTTTCAATCGTTCAATGAATGTATCTAAAACAGAGATTGCTTTGGGATTTGGTTTTTTTTCATAATGATTTCGTTGATGAGTAATGTTTTGTTCAATAAATTTTTCAAGTACTTGATATTTGCGAGGTTCAATTTCTGTAATGAGTGGTTTATCTTTTATAAAACTATCTGTTTGTTTATCTAATTCTGTTTTTATTGTTGTTAAATCACCCATAATACTTGGGTCGATTAATAATTTTTTTTATCTTCAATATAGATATTAAATAATTCCATGTATTCGTTTGATATGTCTCGTAGTAGCTGATCGAAAGAGTCTACATTTAGGCTCCAATTTTTTGTTCGTGAGTTAACGTTTTTTATTTCGTCTTTGATAGGTCCAGTAACCCTTTCTAGATGTTGTTTGTAAAAATCTTTGGCTTTTTGTATTGATTTTATAAATTTTCGAATATTCGTGCGAGCATCGCTTTAAAGATATCATGATGATCTTGAAAACCAATAATTGTGACAGTAAATGACTGAAATGATCCATTCATTACTTCTCTAAGCAACATCTTTGGTATTCTATCGTTGAAATACTTATCAACTGTTTGCCCTGTTTTTTTTCATGTGATCAAGAATTAATACTTGTTTTCGTGCGAGAAAGTCTCTTGCTATTTGTGTTTCGATCTTACTATACGAGTGAGCTAAAATAGTTTTTTCGATCTTCTCTATGTATGTTTTTTCTTGTTCTCCTTTCCTTTTGTGGGTCTCTAATTCTTTGGTCAATTTATTCAGCTCCGCGATTTGCTCTTGTTGATGTTGTTTTTCTTGTTCAGCACTTCTTTGGTCTTGTTGAACAGTCTTAAGTTTGTTTTCGAGGCTTTGTTTTTCTTATTCTTCTTTTTTCCTTAATTCTTCTTTGACTGCTTGTATATCTTTAATTGTTTTAGCGAGGTCTGCTATTTTTTGGGCTTGCTCCTTTTTATCTTGCTCAGCCTTCTTATGTTTTAATTCAGCTTCTGCAAGCTCTTTATTCAATTTTTGATCTGCTTCTTGTTTTGTTCTGTTTAATTCATCTTGTTTCTCCTTCATATGACTTATGTCTTCTTCCAGTTTTGAAATTTGATCAGTATAGGTTTTTTTTCTGTTGTTGAGCTTTCTTTTGCTCTTCTTCAGCAGTGGCAAGCTGTTTCTCTAGGTTTTGATTTCCTTCGTCTTTTGCTTTTAATTGTGCTCTAATGGCTTCTACTTCTTTAGAACGTTTAGTGATTTCTTCCTCCTTCGCCTTCAATGCTATTTGTAATTTGTCAAGACTTTCCTTCGAAATAGAGCTTTCTGGCAGAGATGTGCTTTGTGATGTATCAGGACTGTCCAAGACATTTTGTAAGCCAATAGCAAGAGGTTCTTCTGGTAAAACTTTCGAACTCTTTGGTTTTGAAGGTGTATCATGTTTATCTGTGATATCAAACAATGACCATTTCCCATTCTCTGATAAATCAGTTTCCTACAAGAAACAGTATAAGTGATGAATGGTGGTGTGTTCATTTTCTATTCCTTCATTCAGATACACAAAAGCTATTTAGAGATAGCAAGTTAAACATAGGAATAACACATTTACCGGCTCGATCTTGTAAAATTCATCCAATCATGTTTTTCAATTCCTATGCCCAGCCAACACTGGAGGCGTTACACAATTTTCAAGGGAATAAGACTTCTTGAAGAAAATTTTTTTTCTTAAAACATATGACTATAGCACTTCATCGGCTATCTTTCAAAAGACTTTTTTAAAACTTATTGACCAGAATATGATTCAAGGCATATTTGTGTTGATTTTAATATCAACTTCATTTTTTTTCTTCAAATTTTGACATGGATATCTAAAACCGGAGTTTTAACAACTCTACAGAATAGCCTAGAAAAAAGTTCACGAGTTTGCGCTACCATCATTGTTAGAACAAATATTCAGGAGTATCTAGTGAATGTTTTAACTCGACTGGACGTTACTCCATCTTAGGATTCCGGTGTTGAACCTAGCTCAATTCCATGTACTATCAAAGTTCCATAAAACTATCAACAAGCAAAAATGAAAAACAAATTCAATCAACCTCAGCAAAATCGTAAAGGTCAAAATAAGAAAAGCAAAAATCGTCAATGACGTATGAAAGCGAAAAAAGTCTCTAGAAAAAACGAATTTCAACTAGTAACTATTGGTCCAAGTGCAGATTTTCAAAATTTATCAACATCACAAGAGTTGCCAAAGAAAAAAATATTAAATTCATTGGATATGGCAACTAATTCTGATCCAAGATTATTATTACCGGATTACTCAATATTATCGGATAGCAAGTTTACACAAATGTTATTAACATCAACGTCGAATACTATTAATCAAGATGCACTTATTGAATTATTGAGTCAAAGAGAAATATTAATATTTATTCGTCAACTTACACAATTGGTCAATAAATTAAATTATTCTCAATTACAATATGAACAATGGTCTTACTATTATAATCTTGGCATGACTGAAAGTATTTGGAGTGGCCGAGTATCGAAAAAAATGGCCGAAGCTAATTCATTGTGTTACACATATGGTCGATCGAAAAAATTAATCAAACAACGTCGTGAGAAATATAAAGTGCAATGTGATAAAAACCAAGAGGCTATTAATGAATATATCAAACAAACACCTGTCATTATTGATATACAAAATATTACAACTATGGTAAATAATTTAATCAATAAAGATCAATATGAATTACCACTTGAACTTGAGAGAAGAAAAACAATGCTTCGGTTAGATGCTGAAGAACACAAACTCGTTGAACACTTTTACCAATTGAAGCCAAGACAAACCGAAGTAAGTATACAGAAAACCTACATATATTTGAAAAACGTATTAGTATTCAGATCAGTTCAGCAAAAATTATATGGAAAGCTATACATGAACAACAAAACGTAATACATGAAATTGCTATATTCAAAAAATGGCTTGAAGTTCATACACAAGCATCATCATTCAGTCTTCAACATATACAATTACCAAATATATATCACATCTTCACATCACCATGCTTTTAAGCACAAACATCATCCGTCGAAAATATTGCTGAACAGACAATTGCTAAAGCCCAAAAAATCGTACAATACTACACAAACTTAGCAATCATTGAAAAAAATAAATTACAATCTACTAGATCTCATCATAAAAATATTCAGCAACTAGATGAAATCATCAACATCATCAGCCAACATCAACACAATATGAAACAACATCGTGATTATGAACTACTAGGCAAAGCCGCAAACATATTCAACCGAACTGCTTCTACACAGACGGATATAGAACTCAATATGGAAAATAACTAAACTCTATAAAAATCCCGTTGTGCATACATAACAGAACACTCTACCCTATATAAAAATGTAGATATTCTATATATACTAAAAAATAAAATATACTAAATTCTGTTCTTTTTTTTCTTAAATAATCATTAGTGTTACTCTAAATAAAATAAATTTATTTTTGTGTTAGACGAAACGGTCTCTTATTACATAGAGAATCTCATTGTCTTTTTTTTGTTTCAGATTTATTATCTATATTTTCGATATTAAAGTAAAGAATTATAGAACTTCATTTATCTTAAATGGCTTATCAAATCAATGACAAAACCGAAACAACTAGCATCTCATCAGATGACGAATTAGAAAGAATCAATTTTACTTGGACAACCGAATTTCTATACAAGGATAATAGTATTAACGAAAATGATTGATCTTCATCAGACGATAGTGATAATGATAGTGATGACAAGGAAATAACTTACCATCATAAAGAACTATTAAGTGACAAGAATCTTAATTGGAATGATGTTCCTTATTTCATTAAAGATATGCCTTGGAAATCTAAGACTCGATATGAATGTCGACAAGCATGTTATTACCAGGAAAAACTTCTAGAAATTCGACAACAATTAATAAATGAAAATCTTATTCTACGACCAATTTATAAAGATATTGGATATCATTTGAAGTCAATAAATACTTTTCAAAACAAAGTCAATCAATTCATGAACGAAACAAACAGCTATTCATCAGTTTTTAAACTCAGTCGCAATTCTCCGACTGTTAGTCAAAATCGTTTAGCTGATATTGTTGAACGAGTTGAAACAACATTGAACAATTTATTACATTCTAAATCTATTACTGAAACACAATATATGGCTATGAAGATCAATCGATCTAAAGTACGAATGCATTATTTATACTTCGTATCAGACATACATAAAGTATGTATATCTTTCCTTTTTAATTTTTATCCTATAGTTTATGTTGACTCAAAATGATATATAGGAAGGAATTCCAGTTCAACCAATCATGGTATGTAATGATGGACCAACTATGGGCATTAGTCGTTATCTTGGTCGTCTTCTTGGATTACTTTTTAATGATGCAACTCATTGTAAAAAATTTCATAAAGCTTATAATGTTATACATGCTATGGAATTCTATCAGAAAAGTGGTCATCTTCTACCAACCACTTTATTTACCTCATTTAATATCAATTATTTATGTTTAAATTTTTCACATCAACAAGTTATGAAAGCTTTAGAACATTTCCTCAATTCTTACATCCCATCAGATCATTCTATTCAAGGTGTGACAATAACTAGCATTCTTGAACTTGTACGACTCGTACTCGATGAACAATATTTTATTTACAATTATAAATTATATCGACAAACTGCAGGTAGTGCATCTGATTCATCATTAACTATTCCATTAGTCTATATCTATTTATTTTATTGGCAACCAGATTTATTAGAAGATCTTATTAATAAGAATGAACTCTTTTTTAGGTCTTTATCCTATTTACTTTGTAATTGTAAAAAAATGATTCTATTTCTATTCACCAATATAGATATCGAGATGAAGCATTTATTACATGAAACAGATCTGAAGATGAACTTCGTACATTACTTGCTATGACTAACTCACAATTTCCACAACCTATATGGAATATAACTCGTATTGGATCAACTATTCATTTTCGTGATATTCTGATAACTAACAACAACGGTGTTCTTCGAATTCGTGTTTATCACGAAAGAATATACGATGACTATGAATTACTTTCATCATTTCCCGATATCATTCAACCTCCAATAATGCAAGATATATGGAAATGGTTACGTGCCGCTTTCCTAAAAGCCATACGATATTGTGCCAATCAGGAGATTTACTTGCATGAACTGGAAGAAATCAAAGCGCAACTTAACCTACATAAATTGCCTGATAGTATCTTCAATGTAGCCTATAACGAAATTCTGGAGGATTTTGGTGTACCGGTTGTCTATGAACCATTCACTCGGTCTCCTCATGATATCATGCGTGAACATGTTTTCAACTACGATAGATATCGAAAAGCAAAGAACAAAGAACGACGAAGACAAGGAAAGAGAGAACAACAAAATATATTCCATCTTCCTCACATACCGAATTTGGATGGTAGTACAATAGCTAAAATCGAACAAGAATTAAATACAATCTTGTACCAAAATTTTGGAGATCATCGACGAATGCAACACATTTCAATCAAGCTCCTGCAACATACGTCATCTTCGTTAAGTCCCAATGAACTTCTAGTGAAGAAACGATCAGATATTGATTATTTGACAATGTCAGGCTATGAGAAAAAGAAATAAAGTCTGCAGACAAAGATAATAACTTTCTCACTTTTAATATTCTCTTCTATTTTACAGACCGTCAACTATAAACAGCGCTATTCACAAACCCATTACAAAAAAAAGACAAAGACAGTTTCATTTGTATTTCTTCCCCACTATTGTGTTATTTTAACCATGCCTAATAAAAGTCTACAATACATTCATATATCAACCTACAATATAAAATAGACACTTTCATCTCTTTTCAGATTAAAACATCATTCATCCGTATAAAACACAAACAAATCATAATACAAAAAGCAATCCACACCAAAAAACAAACTAATCAAACAAATCATGACTCAATTCAACCTAGAAACAAATTCTACCATTATTTTCGCCATCCTGTATCAACTGAATCAACTTTCCAAATACCTCTCAAGCCAATCTCACATACAACTCCAAAACTATCACATGAGGACACAACCAAACCGCATCCGAGACAATAATCACAAGCCGCTTGCAACCCTCTTAGCAACAGACCGATACGGAACTCATAGCCAACTGGTATTCAAATCACAAGACCAAGATTCAGTCAGTAACACTGCACATAATCCAATTATGTTATCATGGTAACTTATACACATCCAATTTATAGTAAGTGAATCCAACTTTCCGCCACCAAGCAGATTTTCCAAGTATCATAAATAGATTCAAAATTTTTATACCAATTCAATTAATCTTCACCCCACTCCATAAAGATTGCCACAATAACAAACAATTCATCTAATACTATTCGCTCATCCGGCTGACTCTACAAGCGCCCACACCCATATACACAACCCAAATTCGAAAAACTTTAGTTTTATGGTAACTCTTCACACACACTGAGTGTTTTAGAATTTTCTTCTTTCGAAAATTCTGAATGTATCTCGTATTTGGCTCGAAAATTTTATATGATTTTTGGATCATCTACACAGATATCTTGCCATTTGATAAGATTCTTTAGTAAATTCGAAAAACTTTAGTTTTGTGGTAACTCTTCACACCCACACCCTTGAGCCAGGTCGAAACACGTGTCATGACTGCTTGTCAAAGACAAGAGAATGTTCAATCTTTTTGGAATATTTGCAATTAGGCATCAAGATTTCGTAGTGTAACTCCTTTCGCGGCACCCACAGCATTGCGATATGTGAGAGAGATCCAGCGGGCATCGTGCACAGCGTGTGTGAAGATTTCATCAAAATCGAACGTTTTTTCGAGTTCTTTTTTCGTCGAATATCAAGTGTTCTATCGATTCAAACATTTAATTGAACTTTCTTTTGGATATAGCTAAAGACTTTGAATTTTTTTCATAGTACTGGATGACCTTTCTTTATTTTTATGTTTACAAGGTTCTGGTTGGTTTTGTTGAATGGAGTGTCGAAAAATAGGAGTTTCGTGTCTGTTAGTTTTTTTTTCGGTGAGGTTTGGTTTATGAGTTTTTTGGATGTTTCTGAGAGATTTTTTCGGTTTTTGCTCGCTTTATAGTCAGGTGTCGTAGCGGGGAAAATATCAACTGGTAACAGTTGGTTACGAAAGCCCTGTAAGAAGCAGGGCTTTCGTAACAATGTAAAATGCATAAGTCATAAAAAACAGGGCTTTCGTATCGATTTTTGACAGGGCTTTCGTATTGATTTTGACAGGGCTTTCGTATCGTTTTAACTGAGTCTTCCGATCAATTTTACAGGGCTTTCGTATCGCTGTTGCAGGGCTATCGTAACGTAAAAGCACCTAGTGTGATCTCTAGTTAGATGTTGCTGATAGGGTTTCGTATTGAGATTGGTGATCTATCAAAATTATTTTAAAAAATTCAAGAGCAGAAGGAAATCCAGAACATAGATACAAACAAACTTTTATCTTCTTTTAAATTCATTAGTTAATAACAACAAGAAGTAAAAAAATCCAGCAATACATAGAGAGAGAAGAGTGAACGAGCAAAAAATCCAAATAATAGAAATAAGTGTGCCAATAATGTATGTACATCCTTTATTGTTCACATATTTACGTGTCCATTTCTTTTGAGTATCCTCTGATGCTGTTATACAGAAAGGAGGAATACATTTTGATGAGTATTATGTAATACGCCATGGGCATTGCATGACGTACTACTCTCATTCATCTTTCTAGTTTAATTCTTAATGTTATCCATCTACTTTTATGTAACGTAATTACTTGTCTAGACATAACCAAGACAATGTGCATATGCCTATTTTATCTTTCTCTATTCTTCTCTCTCTCTTCTGCGCGTATATAAAGCGTGTGCATTGTGTGGAAAAGGCAGAACTGGAAAATAACAGAACTGGAAAAATTAGAGAATGGAGTAGTGTAGTGAACATCATATACACCGAGGATAGCGGTAACGCTACTCTTCCAGTTTCTCTTTGTGATCACAAATAAAATAATAGCTGCAGCAATAACGAATGTAAACTATCCATTTACCATTCAATAAAAACAATATTTCGTTACAATAAGAATACACATAATTGATCTTCTTGACTTTAAGTCAACAACTTCAACAAGAAATGGCCGCACACAGAACTTGAAAAAACATAAAGAACTAGGTGTAGAGAACAAAAAAGATAGGATAACAAGAAAAACAATAATATCATTTTATATGAACAAACATAAACTAATACAACTTTAGTCAACATTTACTTAGCATTCAATTGAGAAATTTTCAGTGTGCTTTTTTTTTACAAGCTGTAGCTGAACGTCTAGACATTGAAGAAGAATGTTGGTGACGATACACAATTTTTTTAGATAAGAAAATCAAAGAGCTATAAAGACGAATTGACTTACATTTGAATACTCTTCACAACAGGTTTTGATACTTGAGTAACTTGATTCTTAGAAACGTTTTTCATCAACTTCACCATCGATGCTACTAGTGATAGTGGCTCTGCTAAGACTACCCTTTGTTTGGAAAGGAAAGAGAAAAAAAGTCTATTCGTTTACAAATGGTCAACCTATCGGTCCATTGTTTTTAGTGATGTAATCCTCTATTCAACCATAGAAGTGACAGCGACATCTATGAATGTTTACAGATAATCAATTCACAGTAGAGGACTGTATATTTGGACCACTTAAGTGCATAACAGTTGTTACGGATAAATCGCACCTATTGACTTAACAGATATTTGTAAGCATGGATTTTTGCAACGAATACCTTGTTTTTTATAGAGTATCAGTCTTTCGGTCTGGTTATGAATGCAATAGAGAACGTAGTTACGAAAGCCTTGCCAAAAACGATACGAAAACCCTGTATATTTATGATACAAAACCTCTGCCAAAGTTTGATACGAAAGCCCTGCCAAAATTTGATACGAAAGCCCTGTCAAAATTCGTTACGAAAGCCATGTAGAAAAAACGATAACAGAGCTTTCGAATTACGAAAGCCCTGTAAATTTCTCGTTACGAGTTGATACACCCCCTCGTAGCGTTGATGTTTTGATATATTCGGGATGGGTTCTTTCCTGTGTTTTGAATGGTGGTGAATAAGTTGGTATGTTGGGTTTTTTTATTGTTGGGATAGTTTTTTTTTATGGGCAGGGTGGTTTTTTTATGTCGGTTTTTTTTTGAGTGTTGTTTTGTTTGATAGGTTTAGTGATTAGTTATGTTTTTATGTTTGGAGTGACAACTACTTGGGATGGTATATATTTATATTAATATTATATTGTTTGGTGTGATGTCGTTTTTTGGCGGGTTATGTTAATGAGTCTTCGTTTTTGGAAGGTATATATTGGATTGGTATAGTTGGCCTGTGTTTGAAAAATGTATGGTATGTTTATGGCAGGATGTCTAGGCAGCTATTATTTTTTGTTCGTTTATTGATCGATATCTTGAATTGAAATATGGTTCAGAGTGATATGGGGAAGCGGGAATAAAAGTTGTTTTTTTTTTGAATGTGATTTTTTTGGGAGGATTGTTTTGAAGCGTCGGTATGCAGCAATTGAAACTGGACCGATTTTCCAAGAATGAATGGTGTCATGTATTGTTTTTGTATTTGAAGAATGAAAACAGATGCAATTATTGAAAGACAAATGGATGATTGGTTTTGTGCAATGTGGGAATTTTTAATTATGTAGCTGTGAGTGAGTGAAAATGAAACGATATGTAAACAATTGCGAATAGTATTTTTCTCTGTATTTTTTTTTGTTATTATGAATTCAGGTGATATTCTGGCAAAAGACTCGATTGATATGGAATGTTTGAAATTGAAGCTGGTATAAAAGTCGGGAATTAGTAAGAATGAAATCGTCGTTTTTTGGCATGCAATTCCATATGGTATTTTCTAGAAACAGATATGGATCTTTTTATTGGTGATTTTTGAGAATTTCAATAGAAATAAATGTTTTTTAGTGGGATGTTTGTTTGTTTTTGTTCTGTTTTTAATTGAATGCACTTTAATTCGTTATATAGGAAAGTAATATATACTGGCATGATGGCAACTTGGCCTTAATTTCAATGTTGATTTTATGTTTTCACTTACAAATATTCTTGCTTTCAAATATGTTATAATTGAAATTGTGTTTGTGTACATTGTTTTACGTTGTGAGGACTTTGTTAATCTACTCATACGCAGGATAGAAATATTCTGAACAGGTATTTCTGTGTTTCAATTGAATCACATGGCTCAAAGTCTATTATATCTGGTCAGCCTATATAAGGGCTCTACTCTTTTCTTGTGTCTCAAGTTGATTTCAAATATTGTAATAAGTAAGTACTGGCATACTGCTTGTGTGCTTTTTTATTTCTTGTCTCATTATCAGTCAAAAACAATTAATTTGCTTACTTTAAAACTTATCGATTGAACTAAAGATAGATTGAAGATAATCGAATGTCCGTATCCAAATTATTCATTTATTTTTTGATTACCTACAATGAATGACTTATATCATTATTGTAACAAGTCAGTTGATGTTTTAGATAGGGCCTTTTATCTCAAACTTTCACTCTTGGATTTGATTTCTTTAATTCTTTGTAATCGCTGCGTCGGTGTTTGAAAATATTGACATGCTATGAGGAAGGTATTGTCCATTAGTAGTAGACGTCCTTCCTGCCCATTGAGTGATTATCTCTTTTGTCTCTTTTCCCCTGGGGTGGAAATTTCCTTAATTCAATATGTTATTAGGATGGTGATGGACAACCAATCTGTAGAATAAGACAGATGTGCGCAAGGTTACTGTGACTGTCTATAGTGGCTATATCACTGGGCAGATCAGAATCAAGGTTTTAGTGGGTTGAGCTTTTTGATTGTTTCAATAGAGAAGAAGAATAAAGGGAATACTTTATCAAAACAAACAAAAATTCATTAAGATATAGTCTAACTTTTTCTTTTTTTTCATTTTGTATGTGATTTGTCTTTAATTTTGTTTTTACATATTGTTTAGTGAAATTTCATGTTTGTTTTATATGTTTGACAATCGTAACACTCTATCTGAAATAAATTTGAAATTATTTTGTGGATCTTTCTATTCATATTTCTCTTGAATTTAATATATAATAATAATCATCATTGTCTTTCTATTATAGATAAATAAATCTCTAGTCCTAAAGAGTACAGTCTTGTAAAAGATACGAAACGCGTTGGCGAAAATAAACTCTGCATTCTCTTTTTATTATTTGATTAAGCACAAAATTTTGAACTTTGAAAATAATTACGACTTCATCGATTGCTGAGAAGCAAGAGTTGAGACTAGCAGATTGATTTATATCAGCGAGACATAGATTGGTCTGTTTTCTATTTGATTTACGTACATTAAATTATATCAAGCATCAAATTATTTGAATACTATTATTCTAATTTGATCCACTTATCTCTCAACTTATTCAACGATACATGTCGTCCATCAATTACAATAATAATAATCAAATACCTTTACAAGATCCCAATGTACCACCACGTCTAGTAAGAAACATAAGTCATCGTGGTGGTGTTTTAGGGCGCAACAATAATTATTTAGGGCGCAATAATAATTATTATAGACAAGGCGATCAATTTTATTATCGGAGTAGACGTAATCAATTTTATCGTCAAAATAGAGGCAATAGATTGAATTATCGACGTTATCCTTCAAATTATTATCGTCGCAATATCTTCTATAATCGAAACTATCCATCACCACGACAATTTGATAGTCCATATGATGTAGGTGGATATGGTTTTGCAAGTCGGAGACAACAACAACAGCAAAGATCAGGCCAACCTGTTAGATCGCTTAGTTGGCGTCGATTAAGTAATCGTCCAAGAAGACGAGGTCCACGACAAATTCGTTTAAATGATTTTATGCCAACTGAAATACGTGAGCCTTCACCAAATCTTCCATCTGAATTTAATATAGCTACAACAATTGCACCGACTACAACAACAACTACAACAGCTACATCAGACGCATTACCGCAGCGTGAAATATTTGCCAGAAGAAATACTACTCAATCATTTACTGTCAATGAAAATAATCAAAATCAACGGGTACAACGTAAAACTACGTCTTCATTTAGACGTCGGCAACGTCGTAATAATCGATTTGCTGTATTACCTGATGAAAATGATAAATTATCTGATGTGGAAGTAGAAGTGACAGATGAACCAATACCGTCAATTATTAATAAGAAACAAAGAAAAGATAAGAATAAGAAAAAGATTCGTCGATATCTTGAGCCAAATCGTATATTGAAATGGTTAGAAGATCATTCAAGAAGTTCAAAAAATGCTATAATGGGTCGTGGTAATCAAGCATATGTATTAGCTTCAGCTTCAATTTATGATGAATGGGTTCGAAATAATTATGAATTACAAGTTTGGCAAGCTTATTTTAAAATGGGTACAGAACAAAAACCTTGGGCTAAAGAAATTATTCGACGTACAAAACGACGTGATGATAAAATAAATACTCGATTTGTACAAAAGAAAATTAATCGTTTAACAAGTGATATTACTAGAGTATGTGCTACTATTTCAGAACTTCAAATTCAATTATCTACATATTGGATACAAACAATTTCTGAAATTGCAAATCAAAAATTAGCGCAAGCAACAGCTAATATAGTAGCTAAAAAATTAACAGTAGAAAAAGCACGTCAACCAGTAACTACGGTAACTGTAGGAACAGATACAGACGATGAATTAGTTACAGGAACTGTAGAAACAGCTCCAACTGTTGCTGCTACTACGACTACCTGTAAAAATTATGCTCGAGAACCAGTTGAACGTATAGAAAAATCATACTATGGGCTATTTAATTTCAGTCTGAATTTATCAACTAAAAATAATACTTCATTTCAAACTGAAACGTGAGTCTAGGAGTGAGGGGGGGGGGTGACTGAGGGTGTGGGTGTCGGTCTGGGACCCACACACACACCCACACCCATGGTGCGGGTGTGGGCGCGTGAGTGAGGGTGAGGCTGTGCTTGTGGTTTTCTGTACTATAGGCTTTAGTCCCCTGAAAAGGGACTAAGGGGGACTAAGCTTTTTGTGGGGGGGACTAAGGGGGACTTTGCAGGACTAGGGGGGACTAAGGGTTTTTAGTGAGACTACGTAGTTTCAAGCGAGAAAAGTTTGATTCGGAAGAAATTGGCGTGGTTTTTTTTATTTTAGAATTCAATTTGAAATAAAAAAGCCCATAGACTCAGAAAAATACATATTAGAATATATTCATTTTTGTACTCAACATGTTAAGAAAATGGCTCAATCTAGAATACAATTAGCTAAAGTTCAAATGGAAGAATATAAAGCATTGGAAGATTTTGAACAAATAGCTAGTCCAGCCCAATGGAGTATTCATTTAGTACTAAAACCTAAAATTAAGAATTGGTCTACAAAAAATAAAAATTATCAAATTTTGTCGAAACGTGTTGAATTAGATATGCCTCCAAAATTTATTGAAAAAGTCGATTTTTCTTTTAAAGTTGATGAATCAATTATAAGTCAAGATGAAGCACAAGCCACATATAATGAAATGCGTCAAATTACCAAAGAATTTCGTACTCAAGCAATGAAATTATATGTTCAATCAGCTGCTCGAGAAAATGAAATCTTATCGAATGAAATTACAGGTATTGTTGAAAGATTTCCACAAGAAAACGATGATGGATTTGATGCTGAACCTGGCTTTGCAGCTTTCAAACAATATCATGAATTACGACAAAAAAGAATGAAATTAGAAACTGAACAATCGATGCATTTTTTATTCGAACAGCAAGTCGAGGGCGATACCAACAATCCGGAAGAAGAAATAATCGCTCCGACTGTGATACGTTCGCTGGGCGAGGATTTCTTGCTCCAGCAATAATTAATGAAGCAAATATTTGATTAACTGAAGAAGAACATGAACTATTAAAATTGGGACCTAAATTTATATTTAATGACCCCAAAACAGCTGCACGACGACACACAATTGAGTTGGCTACTTTGAAACGAAAAATAGAAAATTGTTTTCTCCGTAAGAAGGTGAGCCCCGGTCGTCCTCTTGAACAATTTATGGCTGAATTAGATGTTCTTCTTCAAACTTTACATAATGTCCCAACAACCATTGTTAATTTAAATAAAGATAAAACAATTGGAATTCAAACCAATCAAAATGATATTATTGAATTAAAAAATAATATTACTGAATTAATAAATAGTCAAGCAAGTCAAGTAAATCAATTTCAAATTATGAATATAGTGAAAGTAAAGAAAAAGAAAAATTATGGAAGATTGGTTAAAAGATTAAGACATAAATTCAAATTGGCTAATATTATATTACAGAAATCAGAAAAATCCAAAGTATTCCATTTGGGTAAAGTCGAGGATTATCGTAAAAAATCACTAGAATATATGGAAAAAACTCAAGCATATAAATGTCTTGAAAATGAAGATCCATTACCTGATTTGATTCAAAGAACAAATAAGTATTTGTTAGATTTACGACTGGCTAAATGGATTACTCAAAAACAATATGAATTATTAAGTATTAAACCAAACGAAGTGGAATTGGCACATTTATATTATTTGCCAAAAGCCCACAAGCCTGATACCCCTCTACGTCCAATTATAAGTGGTCTTAAACATCCTACAAATAAAATATCAAAATTTCTTGATGATTTATTACGTCCATTATTTGATAAAATGGCTCAAGAAACCACAGTTACTTCTGGGTTTGAACTGGTCAAGAAATTAAATGAATGGTCAATTGTGAATATGAATCAAAATAATATATTTTGTACTATTGATGTTATTGATTTATACACAATGATTCCACAAATAGAAGGGGTGTTGTCATTGAAGAGAATGTTAGATTATTTGAAACTTAAGAAAGTAGGCAATTTAAAAATAGAAACTATTATTAGATTAAGTCGATTTGTGATGCAAAATAACTACTTTTCTTATGATGGTCAATTTTATCATCAAATTCGAGGTGGAGCTATGGGATCCCCGTTAACTTTAACAATGGCTAACTGTTACATGTTTTTCTTTGAACGAACAATTGCCAAGCAAATTAAAAACGGCGGTGGACTTTACTTTCGATATATTGATGATTTATTTATAGTAATTAATTGGCCGGTTAGACATTTATTAAAACAAATCGATAGATGGAATAAATTAGATGAAAACATTCAGTTAAGAGCTAATATTGGCTCATTTACGAACTTTCTTGATCTATATATGGAAAATCGAGATGGTACACTGTTTACTACAGTATATCAAAAACCATCATATGAGCCTTATTACTTGCCATTTAATAGTATCCATCCGTCACATATGAAAAAGAATATACCTTTTACGATGCTCTTACGAGCGTTTAGGTATTGTTCTACGTTCCAAACATATTTAGATGAACGCGAAAAGTTACGTATGGCCTTATTGCTCAATAAATATCCTAATAAGATTATTGAACAACAATTTAATAATGTTTTATTAAAATTTAATATTAATCAACCATTAACTATTAATAATTATGATAAATATCGTCAAAAGGTGTTTGATTCACCATATAAGGAATCTACAGAAATCGATTATGATAAAGTTTTATTTATCTATTTTACTTATTGCTCAAGTATGAAAATGTTTCCCTTAAAATTTCATACCTTATGGAGTAAATATTTTGGTGAATCTCCAATTAATGAAATTATGCCTATATTGGGAACACGTAATGTTAAAAATTTACAGAGAAGATTAATTCATAATGGCTGATAGCAAAGCTCGTAAAAATATTAAAAGACATTGTATTTATTATGTTATGCAAATTATATAGCACCAATTAAATTGTTATTGTATAAACTTATGACATTATATCTTATCCTTTTAAAATTATTATTATAGTTTAAGCATTTATTGATTAATGTGTATTAGTGCAAATTATTCGATGTAATGTTTTTATATATTATTATTATGAGTCATTAATAGGATAAGTAATCGGTCAATAAATTGCGTTGGCCTTATTCATAGATAAAATTTTGGTTTAAACTTTACTGTTAAAATCAACTGGATTCTGTTTATTTATATCTATGAATAATAATTGATTTTGACTCATTTTGCACAACAGAACTAAATGACTATTATCCTATGTTATATTATCATAAATATATATATATACTATTGTTCAAATAATTGAAACAGATTAATCTTATAGATATAGATATTTATTATTATCAATTATGTTATAAAAATACAATTTGATCCATATATGATGATTTAATTATTACAGTTTTTAATTTATGTGAAGTTTAAAACTTGGAATTAATACTTTGATATTGTTGTATTAGTTTACGTTTATTTATCTTATGTAAGAGTGTTATATTGTACTACTGTATATATGTTAATTTGGCAATACCGGAATGATACATTGTTTAAAAATTTCATGTCCTGTATTTGTCATATTAACAATACCAGGTGTATTTAACTGGCACTAATTATTTTATTGCTTGCATAAGACAATCTGTTCCTAACGGAATTTATCGATAAACACGTCATGATCCAGATTGTAAAATATATCTATTAATATCATTATTTAAGAAAATTTATAAACATTATTAAGCTCATCCACGTTCTCCTTCTAATTAGTTCTTCGAATTTGCGTATTGATTTGTTTTTTTACAATCCGATGGTTATAATATTCGTGGGCGATTATAAATATTGTGAACGAATTCAATATTATAATACAGGCGTATAATATATTATAAATCGTAACCAGATTTAACTTGATATACAGACTTTATATGAAACTTTTATTGTACTTTTATTATAATGTTATCGTATTTTCTTTTATGTTTTAATCCGCATTGTAACTTTTTTTGATAGTTTTAGTTTGGTTTTACTTTAATTATTCATAACTTTATATTAGAAGTTTTTTTCTGTATGAACTAATGTCTTCTTATTTAGTTTTAAGTTAATTTTATGTAACATGTGCTTTTTTTTGTAATGCAGAGCCCTGAAGAGTGTTTTGAAGTTTTAATAAAATAACACGAAACGCGTCGGCGAAATTAAACTCTGCATTTCTTTTAATTATTTTGATAAAGCACAAATTTATATTATTTTTTGAAAATAATTACGACTTCATTGATTGCTGAAAAGCAAGAGTTGAGACTAGCAGATTGATTTGTATCCAAAGGAGATATAGATCGGTCTGTTTTTAATTTGATCAAAATTGGAGATATAGTTAATTTTTTAACATCATAATTAATCTACATGCAATTGATAAGTATAAACTTCTAGCACTTATCGAAACCGGTCTTGCTAGCCATATTGATTAATTTATTTTTTGAAAAAAATCTTTAACACACCCACACCCGAACAATAATTTGGTAAAATGAACTAATTTGAAACTCATTATTGGTATATTATTTATTAAAAATATTAGTTTTATTGATTATTTATTCGAGTGGACAATATAATGAACCAAGAAGATAATAGTAACTCTTATCATATAATGTTTTATTTATTTTTTATACTGTATAATGAATGAAAAGAGAATATTATAGCAATTGTAGTTTATGTTTTAATAAACAAATTTGTTATATTTATTATTTTCCTTTATTTCTATTGTAATTTTCAACCTTGGATAAATGTCCGTCTATAGATCTGATAATATATATTTTCAAAACAGAGGTATACGTCGATGGATTGATATTCTCCTGTATATTAATAAATCTAAAACAAATAAGAAGAAGAGTAATGGTAGAAAACTTATTGATGAGTAATGTTCATTGAGTCCCAATTCACTTAGCCATCGACGGATGGGACAGAGATATGCATATACCTACATCGCGGAATAAAGGTGCATTAAATGAATTGACATACACAGGAATCCGTTTCACAAATATTAATCTTTTCGTAATATAACGTGGTTTTATGCTTACAAAGCAAAAGTCAATGTTGAGTGTGCTACACTTGACTGATAAGGTTCAATTTACATGTACAATCCTACTGGCTTTTCTACAGAAGTTTTGTCAATTTTTTTTTATCAATGTGTTATTGTAATTAGAGTTATTTTTATTTTTTAATGCTATCTCAGATCATTGTGTTCCCAATTGATAGTTGTTAGGTAGTCGTATATACTTCTTATCTCACTACCTGAATTGTTCTGTTTTCTCGTACTATCGCACTTGAACTATTTCTTTGTTCTTTTCGTCAGCCTTTCCTTTTCTTTTGTTCATATGTATAGGAATTTTTCTTGTATGTCGTTCTACAGAGGAACAGGAAACGCAGATATTCGTTGTTTTGCCATTGCCACACTTGATTTTGTCTTATCAAGAGAAGTTTTAAAGGCTAGTTTTTCAAAAAACTTTTTGTGGCTAATGTCAAATGTAAATTGTTGTCAATGTTAATGCATATTTCTATTCGATGCGTTTCTAACTTAATCAGAAAAGTTTTTATAAGCATCGATTTGTATAGCAAAAAAATATTATGAGAAATCTTAAATTGTATGAGAGGATTTTTCGACGAGATGAAAATAGAAGAAGCTATATTTTATCGTTCTGATTGGCAGTGAGACGATCACCAAAGTTCAAACTCATCAATTTACATTTGATTTAGTTGCAAGTTTGTTCCTCATTTTATGTTCTACTATACAATGTTTGAGATCATTATGACTTCACTCATTAGCATGAGTTTTTCAACATTTATAACACATGAGATTGTCAATGTAAATGATTTTGTATAAAAAGAATCGAAAACATTGTATTGCATTGCTGGTAAGAAAACGTTCTCAATTCATCTAAATTACTTTCTATGATATTTTTTTCATATATCGAGTAAAATATTCTAAGAGCTATCATAAAAGATTTTGGGTTGATAGAACTTCTTTAAAAGGTTGCCACTATTTTTTTTATCCAACACAAGGAAACTATACTGAAAAGCTCAAAAAAACGACTTCAAATCAGAAATTTCGTCCAGTTGCAGTTCTCATGATCATATTAACACTAGAAATGGCTGTCGAAAAATATATTCTTCTAGATATTTTTAATTGTTAAAAAGACTTGTCTTCTTACACTTTGTACACTTCGACAAAAGTTTTTAAGAACATATATTCTCAAAATAGGAAAAAATTTCTCATTCAAATTACTAGTGGTTTTATATGATCACGAGAGCTACAAGTGTAGAATTTCAGATGGAGATTCGCTTGCACACATTGATTTACACAGTCCAACATGATGATTGTTCAGCATTTTCTTTATAATGAAATAGCTACGGTGACTTACAATGATGAGCGAATCGCTTACTATACATTCTTCAAAGCAAGTCGTTTGTTCCAGACTCAGGTTTAGTTTTGGTTATGGTTATTTTCGGTTTCTCAATAAAAGACAATAGAAGTAGATCCAAAGAAAAAGTTTGAGAGTTAGCTATTGTAAACTTTCATTTAATGAAGAAAATAACTGATAATTCGAGTCTCAACATACATAATGATAAAAGAACTAATATTGAAAAAAACTAAAACTCAACTTTGATCGATGCCAAAGTATTTCTGAAATTGCTCGTATACTTCATTTAGCACTTAAGAAACTGTTTACATAATACTCCATCTGGTCGGACTGGATAGTATATGAAGCCCAACTCTAGCTATTGAGTCCACACTTCGAGCTACAATTTGGGTTCGCTGAATATAAATCATAGAATATCTCTAAATTACATTACATTTTAACGGCTTTTCGAATGAAAGGACCTTCTTCATTTGTCTTCTTCGTTATTCAGTTTAATTAATTCAAAAAAATAGGAAATTTTAACAAAAACAACATCAACAAAAATATATTGGAAATAACAAATGATTCGATAATTTTCTAAAAGCATCATTGTTTTTCTCTTCAAATTCTCGATTTTTCATTTTCAATCAGAGATAGTCATCGAGTCACGACAATCAGTATGAAAGCTACCCTGTAGGGCAAAACTCAGATTGATTTTTGCGACCTGATGATGATTTCTGGTGTTGATTCCTTTTAAATCTTACGTTCATTCTAAAGCACATCGAAGAAATTTCTTTTTCATTATTAATTATTTTGTCAAACACAATTTTTAGTTTCCTAATTATTCGAGTATCGACAAAGATTGATTGCTGAAAAACATGAACTGAGATGAGCAGATTGGTTTTTATCCAAAAACTATAGATCATCCTATTTTTCAATAAGTTTACTTCAGTAAAGAGATCTAGACTGATCATCAAAGCTGTTATCTACGTTCAAAATACTTCAGTAGGTCTTTTTGTCTAGATGCTCTATTCATGTACTGTCAGATCTTGGTCGAAAAAATATTTATTTATTGCTCATAAAATAAGATGAAAAGTAAGGATAAAATAATAGAACGTTTCAGATCAATTTCCAAAGTGATGCTGCAATCGATGGTCTCCAATCGTATGACCATGCTGTGTGTCCTTGAAGACAACTGTATGTCTTGCCTTCGAATGTCACCTGATCACCTATTTTGTATGTAGCCAAGTATTGCCATGGGAGTGCACTACTAGATCCAGCCGTTGATGTTCTAGGAGTCGATGATGACCTAACGAAGACAACAGATAAAGAGAAAATCTGTGATAGTGAATAAGACATCTACTGACGGATTCGAAGTAGTCGCCACTACTGGTGGAGGAACAGATTCAGTACTTCCACCAATCTTGATATCAGCACAACCCATAAATGTCTCGTTTTCAGTACCTTTACCCAAGCCTTGTTCACCAGTGATTGGATCCGTACCCCAACTATTGCCTGCTGTATACTTCCATTGGAAGACACAATGATTACAGGACACATCGGCGGGTAATTGCACTCTGACAGTTATAATAGCAACACCCATCTCACTGGTAATCAAGTACTTGGTCGAAACGCTATTAGCAAGCATGAGAAGGCCACGATTGAGACAATCCTGAGTGGCTTCAAAGTTCGGAGTGGGATCGACATTGCACAGCCGAAATTCGAAGTAACCTAAGTGATTGGCAGTCAACTGAATGCCATAAAGGAGACTTATTTTTGAAATAATTTGCGTGTAATGTTCACTTACATCTACTGTGACATCAATTTGTTGTCCTTGTTTGTAGGTTCTGACAACTTCATCTCTGTATTTAGCGCCTCCCTTTTCAAATAACTTGGGTAAATCGTATTGCTCACCGCAAATGCCACACAAACCATCTACGAGATACCAAAGATACGAGAGTATATTGATGAAAAGAAGAAAAAAATCTTACTGTTATATTTATATTGATTTACAACACCACCGCAGAACATTTGATTGTCAGTATATTCAGTGCAGCACTGCTGAAAAGCCGGAATCGTGCGCCAGGCACTACTGCGTGCTGGTGGATCTATCAGACGACCGTGACCCCATACTGATAATGCATTGGTCGCAAGTAACAATAGACTAATTAACATTTTTATTGATTTCATTCTTTGAAACTGGAATGAAATATGTAAGTGAAGAAAGTATCCTGAAAGCCTATTTGTTTATATACACTTTTATATCTATATGAATGATGATTCTCATCATTTATAATTAGTGACATACGATTCTGGAGGGAAAATATCGCCGTCATGACTCTTACATGGTTAAAAGGTGTGATAATGAAGGTTTTTTTTCATATAGATGTATGGATGAAATTATTCATTCGTGTTACGTTCTCATTATTCACTTTCGTAGGTACAGAAAAAATTTAAGAACATTTTGTACTATTTTTTAAATATTGTCGAGTACATTGTTTATATTTCTCAACATAGAAACATTAAAAATTCATCTTTGACAACCGTAAAATACAAGTAACGCGACACAAACGTCGCTAACCCTCTACTGAAAGGGGCTATACCATGATGCATACTATGTGTGAATAAAGAGCTATAGGCCAGAGATCTCAGGCTCCTGAGTTTCTCTGTTTCGCCACGAAGCGAGATTTTCCGCACCACGACAAGTGTGAGTTGATTTCAAGACTCTCCGAGTCAATTCGGCTACTTAAAATGTTATTGTTAGTGATTAAATAGTAAATCATTAATGTTATGTCTCGATTTTATTGTTCACTTCCGGAAGAATTTCTATTGGTGTTGAAGTTAAACTAATCTTAACAATAAATGAATATGAAAATTTACGTAAACATAATTATCTATTCGGTCTGTCGAATAATTTGATTTAGATCCCAAACAGACTGACTCAATTCAAAGTGAATTAAGAAACATGATTGATGTTACCATGTAATCACGTCAATAACATGGGTTAATTGACTTTAAATTAATTCAGTCTCTTTGGAGCCTTACATAATTACCATTGTGAATTTAAGTAATATGACCTTTGGTAATTTAGTTAGTAGAAATTTTTACGATAAAAGTTTTAATCTAGATGCGCATTATTGCTCGGCGAACTATTGTTCTTCTTCTAATCATATTGTCGATATAACAAAGGAAACTTGTTCAGATTCTCGCAATGCTGATCATACATTATCAGATATTTCTCGAATGTCCTGTAGAAGGATTTATAATTGATTCATGCGTAAAGATGGAAATCTAACAATAATTGAAAATACGAAGAAACATACGACAAGTTGCTAGTCTCGGTTTGATTTTCCAGCTGTTAGTGACAATTAAAGTGTTGTGGTCATAAAATTAAACAACTCTGTCTCATGTAAACATCGCCATGTAACATATATTCTTACAATAATAATAGCACCTCGCAAATGAACAAGTACATTTGTGGATGTCCACCAATAAGATCTTCAAAACACTCTGATAAAACGTCCTCATCACTTTTAAAACAAAAAATGTTTTCTTTCACCGGTAATCGCCGAGAATCCATCAAAATAAGCGAAGAAAAAAGAAAAGAAAAAGAATACTTTCTTATAGAATGGTTTTGTACAAGTGCCAGACTATATTTACTCGACGGTTAATAATCAAAGACTTCAACTTTTTGTTCAACAAGGTATTTGTTTGGGTATTGCATAACCTATTCTTAAATATTCTTTTTCCATTCCCGTATTTTACTCTATAGAGGCAAGGTATGAAAAAATCATGTAGATAACGTATTTTTTGATGATAATACTATTTCGTTTCACGTCGAAATATTAGCTAATCAATATAGATCTGAATTTTCACAAAAACGCACTGAGCCATTATCACTGCATTATTTATTGGTAAGTATCTCATTTTGTATTTTTTTTTGCACTTATCTATATGTATGAAATGTACTTAAATTGATCAAAAGAAATAAGCTAGTTAGTGATTATTGTGGTCGGTAGAAGAGCTTCCTTTAAAAAAACCGTTTTTATAATAGACTGTAGATGAGACGAGGCGAGATAGCAATGAATAACTTTGTTAGTATTGAGAGGCGGTGGCGAATCGCAGTTTTAGTTGACTCGCCAATCTCTGCTATTGGCGTACTGCTTTTGCATATAGTTAAAGGAACAAAAATCAAAGGAACAGTCAGCGGAAATATATGAACATGATAAAGTTTCTAAAACGACCAAAAAACTGTAGACCATTCATAAAGCAAGTTTTCACACATCAATCGGCAAGCTGTTCTCAAGCAGCAGTAATAAAGTATTGACAGTCACTTATTGTTCATATAAGCAAAAATTCTAACATGATTGATAAGAAACTTTCTTACTCTTATATTTCTGCCATATTTCAGCGATACTTTTTTGGCTTCCCTTAAAAATGTATGATTAAAAACTGTTGAAAATAAAAGAGAACTGCTATATATAGTTCGTCGCATTTTCAGCTCAAATGTTAGATAAATCATATCAAAAATGAATTGGTCTTGATGTAAATTATTTTTAACTTGATACTCATGACTTGGTAATAGCAGTCGAGTCAAGTGAGATCTATATTGTCAAATAAATTTTTCATTGTTTCACATTCTATGAAATATTTGGGTAATTCTATGGAGTTCCTCCTGATGTTACATGCGTGATCGCCGATTGGTCTTCAAATAGTATCATTTGATAGAAATTTTTACGCTAATCATTTCAATTATCAAAAAGTCTGCCATTAATCGTACAATTAGAGAAAAATTCACAAAAAGGAAACAATGCATTTTTGATTAGTTTTTCTGACTTCAAATGTAATTATTTGCATTACTTTGGTGAATATGAATCTAACTATTTTACTAATTAAATTGCCAACTCCAGATTCCTGAGTAACATTGGAAAATCTTCAAAGTTATCCACTGTTAAAGGTAAATTTAAAGTATTTTTACTGGAATCTCATCAGCTACTCTTGTCCGCTCAATAGCTAAAACATGTGGAAACGTTTGCTTATCTTCTCATTCAATAATGGAATTCATACAGAAAGCCCGATATACAAATTGATACAAGATTATTTGCTCTATGGACCCATATAAATAACTTTTATGAGTATATCATTTCCTATGAAAATATGAAGAAAAACAAAAAATGTTGCTGTTTCTATATTTTTAGTAGTAGAGATTTTACATCGTTCAACTATTTGCTTTTATATTTTACGATCAACAATAAAAATCAGCATAAAAAACTACGTTAAATGAGCTATCTTGCATCGGGTAAAATTATTTCGTATGTAGTCTTGGTAAACAGTTATTAATTCTACACTTATGTTGCTCGTACGTAAAACTTTGCTAAAATCAGGTATACCGTAGTGAAACGTTCTTTCTATATAGTCTTACAGAAAAAAAACTCTATCTTTATATACGATATGATAATACCTGAAATAGTATCCTATGATAGACTTACAAAAAGTCCATTACGTGTGAAGACGGTTAATGAAGTCATAGTTTAAAAGTATTCTCTTCCTTGAATAATGGTAAAATTTATTTAGATATTTTTTTTTGACGTTTTGGTACAACAAGGTGTCCTTCGTCAGAAATAAAATGATAAAAGTTTACTTAAAGTTATAAAATATATATATGTGGTTTTTTTTCGTTCTTTAGTTGAATAACATATAATAGTGGGATGGACAAGACGGCAATACTGGTAAGGAAAGTTTAGCTTTCATCTTAGTCCTCGCCACTATTATACGTTATTCAAACTGAAGAACGAAAAAAAAACCACATGTATATATTTTATAATTTTAAGTAAACTTGTATCATTTTATTTCTGACGAAGGACACCTTGTTATACCGAAACGTCAAAAAAAAATATCTAAATAAATTTTATCATCATTCAAGGAAGAAAATACTTTTAAACTATAACTTACAATAAGTGTCTCGCCATCATATATGCTGCTTCTATTAGTGCTCATTTTGAAAAGTAGGAGTCAATATTTTTTGAAATTCACGTATATTTTCGAAGAAAATAGTGAGTGTAAGTTTGATGATTAAGGCTTTCCGGCTTTCTCTTCCCCACTCCATTACATACACATAGCAACAATGCAAAAAACATTAAAGATATACCCCAATTATAGACACCGCTTCATTACAGACCTCAGCAACCACGCGCAATAGGACTTAGTTTCCAAAAAATATTCTGAGGCCTTCATAAATTTAAATAAATGAGGAAACCTCGGATTTAAATCCGAGTGTTATGTGTACTTCAAAAAGTCAAGAAACGATTTCTTAACCCAATAAATTTTGTTCAGAATTTTCAAAATCTGACTTCAGATTTGGATTCACCGACCCCGATTTACTTTCGTCAACCTTTATATAATTTCGTTATTTTCTTAAAAAACCCTTCCTTTCATCCAAAAAATGGAGTTCAAAATTTTCAAAATCTGACTTCAGATTCAGATTCCTCGACCCCGATATGCTTTCGCCAACCTTTATAAAAATATCGCTATTTTCTCAAAAAACCCTTTATTCATTGAACATAAAATATATGGCTTCATTTTTACACATCAATTTTTTATTAT